ATAAATTTCCTTTAATTTTTACTTTTCCTATGTTTGTTAGTTATGTTGTAATTCTGTCAAAATATAGTTTTTAATAGATAATTTTGTATCCCAAAGGATCCTCCAGTGAGCCACGTTGTCCAATGCCTATGCCTTTGTTCCATAACAGTATCCGTACACTTCCTGGTCTCCATCTTTTAAGTCAGGAGCCAAAGTGGAGCCGAGTCGTCGAGGGCGGAAAAAAGGAAAGACGATGATAGCTACAAGTGCACCAGAGCTGCGAAGAAAAAAAAGAGGAAGAGGAGAAGGAGACCCGAAAGTCGCAAGTCAGACACGAGCGTGTGTCGAAGCGAGTGTTCGATGCCAAGAGCAACACCGCTAACACGAAAGGTAAGAAGAGCAAGCTGGGAGATGCAAAGGACTTGCCAAAGGCTGACGATAAAGCGTCGTGTCTGTACTGTGGGATGCAGTATAGGCTCAGTCGTGAATCGTGGATCCAGTGTACAACATGCAAAAAGTGGGCGTACTTGCCGTGTACCGACGCAACAGCCTGGCAGGCACAGTTTGTATGTGACGTCTGCCGAGACTGATGATCCGCTCATCCGCTATGATCCGATATGATCCGCTGTGTCGCAGGTATCGCATTGGCTGTGCTGATTTAACGTGATTAGTACGATGTGTAGGAAGTTTTGTGACCGTGTACGTTGTTCCGCTGTCATGTGATCCGCTGTGTCGCCATTAACGCACTGGTTGTGCAGATTCAACGTGACTAGCGCGATGTTCAGGAAGTTTTGTGACAGTTGCTTTGCCTGCTTTGTGCTTAGGCTGCCGAGACTGTGAGTCCTACGATCTGCTGTGCTACAAGTATCGCATTGGTTGTGCTGATACGTGATTTTGCGATGTGTGGGAAGTTTTCAACCGTTGTCGTTGCCTAGTATGTGCCTAGACTGCCAAGGTTGATAGTCATGTGATCCGCTGTGCCGCAAGTAGCGCATTGGCTGTGATGATTTAATGTGATTATTACGACTGCAGGTTGTGTGGCGGTGCCGTCTGGTTGTTGTGTAGACTGCCGGCATTACTACTAGCCGGATCTTATGTTAGAAATACCTTCCCGTTGTTGGGGTTCTTCTACCAAAAACAGAATGGTTGTTTGGAGGTGGAAAATATATCCTGAATTCACGTTCTAAAATGTTGTGTCTCATTTTTAACACGAAAGAAATGAATCTAATATGCTACAATTTTCAGCGGAAGGAAACGTTGCCACGACCATTGACAATCTCCTGAACGCAGGTAGATGGCAATGCAGTGCACTCATTTCACCATTTGCAATGTAATTGTAGAACATGTAGCCAAGTATAAATGTTATCCCAATGCTCCTTAGTATGTTCCAATTCATATTCACGTCTGTCCCGATTCTCCTGCATGCGTCCCGATTCTCCGGTAAATGAAGGTCTTTGTTTTTCCTCCACGCGTGTCATATCCTATCACAAAGTGAAACTTGTTTATTAGTATGATGTTAATAAACATCCAGTTTATCTATTAGTAGTGGTGCAATGTTACCTAGCGTTCATACATTAGCTACAATGACTTATCAAAGTTGAAGTTGCGAAAGTGCCCCAATTCTCCCGCATCTCTCCTAATTGTTAATCCGCTTAGAGGGCAGCCTCAAAACTGTAAAAAGAAACGCTCAGGCTTATCTTTGAACAGCACAAATCAGTTTTCAAAGACAACCGGGGGCATTAAATTATGGCTGTTGTTCTGGTGTGCACAGCACCCACCGCGTGGCATGACTTGCGGTATGCAACGTCGTTCGGTTTTACGGACACCGCAACCTCGGGCTTTCCTGTTCTTCCTTCCCTGTTCTCCTTTCCTGTTCTCCTTTCCTGTTCTTCCTCCCGAGACTGCGAGCACGCAAGCTCAGTCTTTTCTATGTAATTTGTTTCACCAGTCGATTCTACAAAATAAAAAAACGCTTTTAGGCAAACGTGGATTGGCCTTGCTTATGTCTGAACTCATTTAAACACCTATATTCAACATCTATAAGATCCCCCACTTTTCGGGGCAAACGGCCCACTTAAGTAAAACTCTTAAGTAAAACTTAAGGGGTACCGTCTTGTTTCCGGTTAAGGACTGAAAAACGGTGCGTCATTATGTACAGAACAAACATACACCTCACACATACAAACACACACGCATATCGCAAAGATACGTCTCCTTCCGTCCCACGGGCTGTCTTCCGGCTGTCATTCTGGCGACGGGGGTGCAAGATCTCCTCGTCAATCCGGAGACCCTTGGATGCATCATATCACAAAGTCCCCTCTCTCACGCAGGAGGCCTTCTGACTCGCGCAGTCGGCCCCGGATCCATGCAAGAACCCTCATTCACGCAAGAGAACTCTGATCACCGCGGCTGGTCCAATAATTGGCACATAGTTTGTTGGCACATCCAAGTTCGGTTAACGACCCATGCTGGACTTGGGTTGCATGGCCCACCGTTCGGTGCTGGAGCCCTGATTGACACTTGATCCCCCCATTGCCTCAATGTAAACATTCATCGCAAGTTACCATGTTTCCTTTTGATATCAGAATAGCCATGCTTTATTGCAATTACGATACGATTAATAAGTTGCCATGCTTCCTTTCATTGTTTTCCTATTGCGTTGGTCGGAACCAAGGCAAGAGGCCTTCTGACATTCGGGATCCCGTCTTCGTCCCTATTCAGCAAATATTCCCCTGGTCGACTCAAGGCCCGTTGCTGACGTTGACACAGGGCATCCTGTTAGGCACTGTGCGCCCCATTGGCCGATACAGGAGCCCGGCAGTGTTGTAGGTGCCCCGATCAAAGAAAATGGTGGCCCTGGCCTTGTCCTTGCTTGAGAAATGGACCCCAGAGCTGAGACCGACGCGTAGCCGACTGGTCGGCGTTGGTCTCTGGCCAAAGAAAGGCCCGCACTGTCCCAGGGGTCCCCAGTCGAAGCAAGAGGTCCTCTGACTGAGAGTTGAGGTCACGGCCTTACGGGCAGGGCGGCGTCCTTAATGCAACCTGCGGCCAGTCATTCGGGGCCCCTCGTCTTTCCAATCGGGCCCTTGATATCTGGTCCCGATGGATCCCTCCGGGTTTTTCGGACTTCCTCAGAGACCATAGCAGATTCAGAGTCGCTAGCTGATGCATGGCCCCTGTTAGACACTGCAAGCTGCTGACCGACTCGGGGACCCTGACCAACACAGGGGCCCCGGCCATTGTTTCAGGGACCCAGATGGTCTACGACTGATCTTTCAGGTCACGATGTTACGGGCTGCGATTCTTGCCGTGCCTTACAGCCAGCACTTTGGGCCCTTCTGCCCTCCAACCGGGCCCTTGATCGTCGGTTCCGGTGGGCCGCCCGGACCCCCTTCGGGACTCACCGAACACTGTCCTTGATAGGCTTGGGGCCCTTACGAACATAGGAACCCCTGTAACGCACTGTGGGCTCCTGATTAGCTGCTCTGAAAACAGGCCCTCAGGCCCATACCGACACGGAGCTGACTGCGAGTTACTGGTGGTGTCTGACCGCCAAGCCAGGTGGGGGGGGGACTTCAGCCCCCCCCCCCCCTCCTTGAACCTCGGCCCTTACCCAGCCTTGGGGAGAAAGTGGGCAAAATCTTGGGAGAAACCTATCCGTTGGGTTAATTTGTGGGCAAATCGGGTCGTTCTTCACTGTTCAGCATTCCCCCCCCCCCCCCCTCCCAACTCATCTTGCGGAGCTATGCCCCTGTGCCTGAGCGTAATATATGTATGCCCGTACACCTCTGAGCAGACACCCATCATGGCCCACTCAATGTTCATACACTATGTTCCATGTCTCCAGGCTGTTCGCCAGATGATTAGGCACGGCAGTCACGTGAAAATTTCATCTCGGCCGGGCAACCGGGTAAAACCGGCTCGGCCAACTACCACCCACCCATACTTTGGAAATTACTGATAGGACACCCTCATCTGCTACCCCACCCTCCACGCTCAATTTCCTCGATTATGAGTGACGGTGGTTGGACGCGTTTAGAATCAAAGTTTCTGGTAGCACTCTGGGAAATTGGATAACAGCTCGTGACCCCGACTGGCCGAATTCACTTCACTCGAAACACACGAACCGTGCAGCGCTGTTCGAGTGGACATGAAAATAAGACAGTAGTGATAGTTTTATTCCTCGAAGGATAACCCGGAGAATACCCGGAGAATATAGATGGGTTGATATTTAGGCAGCATGCCTTTATCGAGCCAACAGCAGAAGCGAATTTTATAACAGAAGCAGAATGAATTCAGTAGAATTCAATTGCAGAAGGATTCGCTTCTGCTATTGTTTCGGTAAAAGTATGCTGCCGAAATATCAAATCATCTATACCTGTATCCTCCTAGTTTTTCTCCGAGGTATAATATATTACTACTGTCTTATCTATTTTTTTTAAAGATTTGATCCGAATCCTTTGAATGGATGGATTTTCGGGATCAGAGCTCAGGCTAAGCAGTGCTTGTTGTGTGAGCCCTGACCCCGGCCATCCGATCGCGCAATTCCATGTCAACGGCAGAATTTGGTGGCGAAAGCTTAACGTGCCGCAATGCTCGGCACGGTCCGTCCTGCCCTCTGACGTCAACTGACCTTTAGCGCGACCGCTGCCACCGGCCGCAGGCCATATCTGTCAAGGGCAAATAGCGAGCGCCCTAAGGCGACTCGAAACCACCCCGCCACGGGTGGGTGCATCGGAAGGCAGGCGCTCTAACCAACTGAGCCACCTGGACGGACTAATGTGAATAACCCTCTATGTGAATAAATATATGAAATAACTAACTATCCATGTGAATAACCCTCCTCGCAAATGACCCGAACAACTCATGTAGAGTTGATAGGAGGTAAAAACAGTATTTTGGTAGCCTTCAAATGAATTTGGCCTCCTCCAGCTTTGTTTCCAAAAATGGCGCGCTAGAGACAAGTTTCCAGTCGCTTACTCCGTGAAGGTCAGTGAGGTTAGTACAATCGGGGGCGGGGCTTAGATTTGTGGTGTGCGTGGCGGGGCCGCCGGGCTTGTTAATTCTCCGCTGAGTGGTCTCGATGTAGCGGGTAGTGTGCAAGCAATCCATTTACATAGTTGTGGCCTGGTCTGTTAGTCTGCAGATAGTATAGATAAGCGGTGCTACGTCCTTTCACTGAACACTGAATTTGGCCATGTCGTTCAGAGTACCACAAATGTTAAGGAGGAAGAGCTTTCTGACCATGCAGCCCTTGCTGCCAAAGCGGCTTGGGTCATCTCGCTTTGGAAGTGCTGTGAATCTTCTTAGCGCTATGAACCAAATGAAGAAAGTGCCCGTGTCACAATCAGGATCAAGATCTTTGATGACCACTAAGTATGGTATTTTGCATATGGAATGTTGTGGTGCTGGCTTTTGCTCTTACTCTGTGCAAAGATGGTGAGGATCAGCATCTGTATCTTTTCCTCATTCCTGCTACTGCATGAATGTCTGTGATCCAAGTGCTGCAAGCATAGTTTTGTCCCTGACTATGATGGCCATGCAGGTAGAGACAGTCATGACAATCACAGTGCCTGAAAACATGACAAACATGTTTTGCCTCTGTAAATCCTGTATGAAGGTAAATAACCTGGGTCTAAAAGTGTCAAACCAAGCCAACACAATTTAAGCTTTTTTAAATTTGATCTGAATCTTTTGAATGGATGGATCTCCTGGGTCAGAGCTCACACTAAGCAATGCTTGCTGCGTAAGCCGCACAATTCCATGTCAGAGGCAGAATTTGGTGGTGAAAGCTTAACATGCTAAAACGCTGGGCATGGTTGGTCCTGGCCTCTGACGTTTAGTGGCCTTCAGTGCAATGACTACCGCTGGTATCAGGCCATACCTGTCAAGGGCAAGTAGCTTTCGCCTTAAAGCAACTGGAACCCAGCCACTGATGGGTGGATCTGAAGGCAGGCACTCTAACCAACTGAGCGACAGGATGGACAATGGTTTGAATGGACAAATAGACAAGTTTAGATTGCTTCCCATGGTATGTGATGAATTATATGGTCCTAATCATGTTTATGCATTTCTTTGTGTACTTCCAATGTATGCATGCATGATATTTGAGAAAGCTGTCTGTAGAAAGCTTAATGGCATTGACAGCTTGAGTAAAACTATGTAAGGCCCTATGGGTGCTTTTCTTAACCTAAGTATCTAGTTCATGTAAGAAGTACATATTATACATCATGCATCATGCAGGAGTAAGATTCTTTTTTATATTGATTGGTGGGTCTTGACACTTTTAATCCATAGGCATAGCCACCACTGTGGTGTGTGAGGTCCAGACCTCAGTAACTGTCAGTCTCATTTGGGCTGTTTTGTTTAGCATCAAATTGGCACCAAATCAGCACCACCACAGAAATGGACCCCAGCAACAGTTAGGTGTGGTTACAGCTATGTTCATTACCCCTATACACACACACACACACACACGCACGCACGCACGCACGCACGCACGCACGCACGCACGCACGCACGCACGCACGCACGCACGCACGCACGCACGCACGCACGCACGCACGCACACACACACACACACACACACACACACACACACACACCACACACACCACACACACCACACACACACACACACACACACACACACACACACACATATATATATATATATATATATATATATATATATATATATATATATATATATATATATATATATATATTATATATATATATATATAAGTATAAGATGGTGTGACATTGTCATTGGTTAAAAGTAGTGAAAGCAAGCACACTCATATCCACTTGCACATGGTCCACAATTTAAGAATGTGCTCAATTCCTGAAATGGGCACATGCTACGTGTTGTGGGCAGTGAAGTATCTTCCAACCATTTAAATAGTGTGTAGCATGCAGCAATATTTCCAGTCCTCATCAGTTTGAAAATATCCTGGTAATTATTGTTGCATGATGAAACAACACTGAAATTCACTGGTTAGAACCAAATGACTGAAAACATTAATTGGGAACTCAAATGTTATGGTTTCACTACATTACACACCACCCTTCCATGGTCTACAATAATTTCAAGGTGCTGTTCGTCAGTTATTTGAAGCATTTGGGTGAAGCATTCCAAAAAGATTCCACTGTCCCTCATATGGTTGCAGGATATCACTTAGTACCTTTGACTCCAGACTCAGTGAGCAGCCCAACCGAGTTGAGTAGTCCAAAACGTCATGATGCCATGTACAATCTGGTTCAGCACAGGTAATCAAGTGGGTCTTAAAGAGGTTTGAGGTGTTTTTTCCATTAATAAAGCTGAGCGTGCGCGGTCGTGGTGAGTTAAGAAATCCGTAAGAAATGGGATGAATTTTCAGATGTTGTTGAGGGTGAATTTGGTATTTTTGTTTTTTTCCATGCAGCGCCACAGACATCATACTTTTTTCATGTTTGGGATCCCTTTACCTACTTTTTGACAGCGAAGCTCCATCTGTCGTCAAAGCCCTAGCCACGATTTCGAATAAGATCATGGATGATCATAATATCAGCTGTGGCATAAAAACTTGCTTTCCCGCCGGGATCGCAACCATTAGATCGCTATCACGCATGGTAGGAGTAACTAATAAATGCACTCACGACAGGTCACATTCGGTAAGCTGCCGGATCGCACGTGCTTCTATTTTGGGTGTACACGCGCCGATCGCCGGTGATGAGATCAAATCACATGTGAGGTGTGTTAGTTAGGTAATCCATACAGAAGCTTGCGAATTACCATCCAGCGGACACTATGCATATAACAGCATGTCATAGGTGGCTGTCAGCATGTGTCCGACGTCGCAGCCGGCTTGCTGCGGGAGCCGACGAGCCCGTGACATCCGCTCCGTGGTGAGGCACGCGCTGCTCAGGACCTGCTATCCTGAGGTCACTGGCCCCATCCGGCCGGTCACCAGCCCGGCCCGTCCCCAGCCAGACTGGCGGCCAGCGTTGTCCCCAGCCGATGGCGCCGCGGTCCGTCGCGCAGGCCTGCCGCCATCTGGCGCGCATCACTTCCGCTCCGCAGCTGGGTTTCAGCTTTTGTTTGTTACAGATCTTTTGAGCTATGCGCAAATAGTTCCTCCGAGCCCTCCACTCCATATATTTCATGGCATTCATGTCGATACATGATAGCACGCACGTAACACACACTACGCATACGCGTGCGAGGGTCAATAAAGTTGCCTGCTGACCATGGCTTGTTGCGTGTGCTCTGGAACCCACCAGCCAAGCTGTACCGTCTGGTTCAGCGGATCATTTGGCCTCGGCCGTTACGTCAGAGAGGACCGCGGGGTGTTTACGTGCCGCACAATGTTGCAGGACGGCTGAATCGGGCCGTAGTTGACCCTCTTGAACAGCTGCCAGCCTATCTTTTGTCTGTCGGGCCAAACAATACGAGGGACGGCGAGTGCGGCCGATGAAAAACAAGTCCATCTTTCCCCAGACCACGGGGACGGCGTGCTCCGCAACTGCCGAATGAAACCATGACAGCAGTGTAGAATAATGGCGTGCATTACAGCAGCATTTACGTTTCAAGTGAGCGAGTTTGTGTCTCCCTCCCCTCCCCCGATGTAGAGTCGCAATCTGCCAATAATGATGTACAATGCCTCGCATGCGGAAGCCAGGCCGACAGTTTTATTGAAACATGCAACGCCATGACGGAACACTGCCAAATGCGTGTCCATCCAACGAACACGTTTGTGAAGCTGACTCGCCGTGTCATATCCTCGCTGTTATTACTTCCGACTCATTCTGTTCAAATAGGCACACCAGGAGCAGTTCCTGTCCTCGATGCTCTTTTCACACGGTTTTCATACCCGCCCTCAGCAAGGGATCAGACGCCCAAATATATTTGTTATGGACCACTCTCTGTGTGGGAGGCGCGTTTGTACAAATGGCAGTCCAGGCATTGTGTCAATCAAGTCCGGTTTTAATAGCTGCTGATGCATTGCAGTAAAGTTTATCTCATGCTTCCATCAAAACATTCAGAGCAACGAAACCCCCATCGCCCGAATGGCGCATCTTTGGCCAATGTCCATGCACGCTTATCTGCATTTCGTATTATGGTATCAGATACCATCATACGAAAATGCTTTGGTAAAAGTGATACCAAGATGCAAATTCTGCTTCTTGGTATCATTTTTGCCTTCTGGCTTATGAATTTGAACTCGTGTGCCATTTCGTTCCATGGACTGTACCTGTCATTAGATCGTGAACGGGAAGCAGCGTCGATTGATTGGGCCCAGAGCGGCAGTGGGGGTTTAAGTATGCGGCGTGGGTGGGATTGGGAACGAATTACCGATTGTGAAGCTCACCGTTTGGGTGGCGCTCGTCGCGCTCGTCGCCCCTCGCGCAGTGCTCCGATATTCGGTCACTTGGGTGGCATGTACGTCAATATTTTTCATGCTATTGCACCTCGGTCTGTGGCTCACTGCCGATTGCCCCTCCCCTTGTTCAAAATCAGCCAATCAGCACCGAACCGCACGTCTGTTAAACCAGTATCTATGTGCCTCAGGGTTTACAAATGGACTAAGTAGGTCAAATGCCTGGGTCGGGGTCAAAGGGCGATGGATTAGCGCCAACGAATTGCGTACGGGGCCGCCGCCGGAGAGCCAAGATTCTGGTAGCATGAATCGATATCTACATCGCGCACACCGTACCGAATACGTTTTGGGACGCTGCCCCGTGTCCCGCCGTCGGTGCGAGCCAGACCGGGCCGCCATCCAGTCAGCCCCTGTTTGTGATTGGAGCTGGTGTGACGTCGTGGCGCGGCCCGATATAGCCGCGGCCGTTTGAGGACCGCCTCTTTTGTGTTGCCGCGCCTCCCCCCCCCCCCCCCAGCCCTCTGTTGTCCGCGGGGTAGCGTCACGTTTGCCGGTCTGACGCTGGGGTCTGGGGCTCGACGCGGTCCCGGCCAGCTCCGCTGGCAGTGGTGCGAACTGGGACGGGTCACCAGCGGCAGCGGTGGGGCCGGGGGCGGCTTTCAAAGCAGGCTCCAATGGCAGCGGCGCACTCAACGCGGTTAGTGAATATTATGCATTTACGTACTAGTATTTAAACAGTATGGTGTTTAAGTTACATGTATATATATATATATATATATATATATATATATCTGTATGTATTTGTATATTTCTGTCGTTTTGTTAGATGCTGTAACATGATTAAATCTTTTTGATGTCATGTCATGAATAACGTGAAATCAATTTTCAGTGGTTGTGTATAAAAACACCACACTACTCCAGCTCCGGCAGCGCAGTCGTTAAAGCTGCGCGCGTGGAGAAGCAGAGGTACACGGTTCGATTCCCCTCGGTGCCCGTCCTTCCTACCAGGGGAAAAGTCAGGTGACCGCATTAAGCCTCAGCAACTAAGTGCGTCGTAAAGACCCTATGACGCCGAAAACGAGGGTACCTTCGCTAGTTGGTGAGCCATTGTTATCCAGCAGTCTACGTTGAAAGCGAGATGGTGCCGCGTCAGCTGCGACGTTTTTCTGTTCAACGTGCTCTACTATTTTCGATCGGCGAATAGATCCGATGTCGGTCGAACCACGCGCTTGCGTCTTCCTGGCGGTGCTTGCGTCGATACTCTGTGGCTTGTAGTGCTTCGGCCGGGACATCCGTGGGATGTTTTGTGGGTGACTGCGGGTCCACCGACGGGGCCATGCTGCTACGGGCCTGGCCGCCGCTTGGATTTGGCGGTGGCTGGGTTTTCAGTCATGGCTGAGGCCAAAACTATCAGATGCCTTGATATCCTCTGTCCTCACATCTGACAGCCATTCAACGCATCAAAGCCCGGTAACTTATGAAACGTATGAAACGTATGTTTTCAACGTATGAAATCTGTGGTAAAAACTGGAAATGCTTTGATTGCTGGCATCCTTATGGCCAGCGACATTGTCAAGGTCAAACGTGGTCAGTTACCCGTGATGATCTAGTTTTAATTGACATCGGTTATTGACCTTTTTCACCTGAGCTCATTCCAGACACGATTGACACCTATTTTGCGTAAGCATTTTTTTTGTCGCGGAAAGCCGATTTTGATTTGTGTTCATCACCTTTCAGTTCGTCCAGTCCGGTCTGGTGAGTGACATTAGCGTCAAGCCGGGTGTCACGATATTACCCGAATGCAGCCCGAACGTCAGGATACAACAGAACATATACACGCACGACATTACCCGAACACAGCCCAGACGCCAGGATACAACAGAACATGCACACACACGATATTATTTGAACTCGGATATCATGAAATTACTTGGAAATCAAGCTATCCTGCACGCCTTGCGTTGTGGCTCAGGCCACTTTGGCTCGAATGGCGTGCGGTTCTCGTTATGGCGGGTGGCACGGGCGACAACAACTGTTGCCTGCAGTCGTCCCCACGTCTACTCATGGCCACACCTTTTCGCCAACCCATTGCATACTTAGGTCAGGGACGCTTTTGGATGGCCTGGCGATGTGAAGAGTACGGTTTTGACCGAGAGAGACGGAAAGGCTGGCTGCCGTACGCAGCCCGTTGTTGTTCGCGTTATAACGTTCTGACTTGTGTATAGTATATCTTCATGAACTACAGTACGCAAATAACGTCATTCTTTGAACGTGTGTGAGGAAGTATGTGTAATGTTTGCTGAACAGCCCGAAACTGACCGCTTCCTATTGGTTGATCACACTAAACAAGACCTAAACAAGGCGGTGTGTAAGGGTCGATCTGATGTGTTTGTTGCCTGTCGGTGTATATAATTGACTGACGCGATGCCGTCTTACCGGGCTGTTGGTAAAATCGGCTTCATGTCGACAACTGTAAAGTAAGCAATTGGTGCCTGGCAGATATGCCTGCGGCTCAGACTGACGCTGCGAGCACTGGTTTGCACGGTTGTGAATAACCGCTTGCCACTGGATGTCTCTAACGTTATTTGTGTTAGGATACAAACGACAGCTGTTTCCTTGAAAATATCAGCCTCGTGCACGCACTTTGCCCGGCCTCTTCTTTTAAGATATGCACCGCTGACGCTGACTGAAGCTACACTTCTGTAGCGTTTTCACTGCTAGCGCCTGGCCACCTGCATGGCACTGTTCGTGTTTTTATTTGCACCACTCGTGTCTTTAGTATGCGTGTGTTCATTGTGGCACAAACTTATCTGTTGTAAAGCCGTGTGTAGCCTTGTGGTGTCGCTATTGTGTTTTATTTAACTGTTGTGTGCTGACAATTGCTGATCCCTTTTTTGTACACATTTAATGCCAGCAGCTGCATGAAATGAAGGGCTTGACCTTTTGTCGGCGGACTAGCGCCGTGGCGCGGAACTCTTAGTTCGATTCTCGTCCACCAGGACGTCGTATACGTCGACGGCCGTGCCGCCGGCTGCCGTGGTTTCGGTGGCAAGCCGGGATGAGCGACGCGGCTTCATGGCCTGCTTTCCCGACTTGGTGCGCAACCTGACCGAGGTCGGCTTCCACAAGGATCTGCAGGACGCCAACAAGTGGTTCGCCAAGGTGCGCTAGGGCTGGCTGTAGGCGCGCCAGTGCTGTGCGTGGTCATTCCCCCACCGCTGTGATTTCGATGCGGTCGCTCGCTTCGTTTCCCATCGGCTTGTTGGTCATTTGCGCTGGTTCGGATGTGTCGGCTTTCCGCGATGGCTGGCTCTGAGTGCAGTGTGCTCGGATGCACGTCACAAGGTGTATGAAATTCACGGTGTCGCACCTACGTCGCTTTACGCTCGCGTCAAGCAAATCATAAGCGTAGCAATGACGAAGGTTGCAAAGAGCATTTCCATGAATATCTCGGGCTGTGTTTGTTTCTGTATGGAATGATGGCACCGATTTTCACGTGCGTGCGCTTGCCCGGTACGCATTGCTCCATTATGACCATTTCGGTTGGTCGCATAGTGTGCAGCGCCGGAAAATTGCGTAAATCAGCGGAACGTGGTCATGATGTGCCCGTTGGCTGTCACAGTGCTCCTTTTCCTGCAGCTGTTGCGGTGTCCCGTTTGCCGGAATTGACGCCGTGCCTTGCGCAGTGGGATTGCAGTGTTCTTCGTACTGCAGCTATTGCAGTACCCGTTGTGCTGCAGTTGACCAAGTACTTGGTGTCCCGCATGTCCTCTACAGCCGGCCCGGTACCGCAGCGGTACCTGTTATGGTTGGCGCAAACCATAGTTGTCTCAGAGTTGCAGTACATGTGTAGTGTGTACGGCTGGCGGGGTGCCGTGTGCCCCAGTGTCCTCAGCGTGCCGTGTGCTGCAGGTTCTGCAGTATAATGTGCCGGGCGGCAAGATGAACCGCGGCCTGGCGGTGCCGCTGACGTACCAGATGCTGGTGCCGGCCGAGCGGCACACCGCCGACGTCATGCAGAAGGCCTACATCGTCGGCTGGTGTGTCGAGCTGGTGAGTGCACCGGTGCTGGGCGCCATGCGTCGGCTGGTGAGTGCACCGGCGCCGGTGCTGGACGCCATGCGTCGGCTGGTGAGTGCACCGCACCGGTCGCCGGGGGTGAGTGCACCGTCGCCGTACGCCATTCGCTGGTGATGCACCGGCCGGTGCTGGACGCCATGGTGAGTGCACCGGCCCGTGCTGGCGCCATGGTCGGCTGGTGATCCCGGCGCGGCGCCATGCGTCGCTGGGAGTGCCCGCACCGGTCTGGCCATGCGGGCTGTGGTGCACCGCGCCGTGGGCGCCATGCGTCGGCTGGTGAGTGCACCGGCGCCGGTGCTGGACGCCATACGTCGGCTGGTGAGTGCACCGGCGCCGGTGCTGGGCGCCATGCGTCGGCTGGTGAGTGCACCGGCGCCGGTGCTGGGCGCCATGCGTCGGCTGGTGAGTGCACCGGCGCCGGTGCTGGGCGCCATGCGTCGGCTGGTGAGTGCACCGGCGCCGGGCGCCTGCGTCGGCGTGCTGGCGAAGCGGTGTCTGCGGTATTCTCTGAGTTGTGCGTTGAAACTCGTGCTACTGTTGCAATTCGAGAGGTGCGAAAGGTGTATTTAGACGCCTAGTACGGACGTTGGGCGGGGTGAGATGTGTGAGTTTGTGAACTGGCTTGGCGGAGCGGGATGTGTGAGTTTGTGAACTGGCTTGGCAGGGTGGGATGTGTGAGTTTGTGAACTGCCTTGCTGTGTGTTTAGCGCCTGTGTGGGCAAGGCGTGCAGATATGGGCATTGATTCCTTTGTGATCACGTCACCCCTTTTCATCAGTCTGAGTGCGCTGTGCCATTTTCTTGAAGCACACTTCGCGGCCGGGCTGTAAAGTACTCTCAAACGGCCGGTAGAACATCTCTGTTTGCCTAGTGAAGCCCAATGAAGCCTCGCCGCCCCCGGCGGCATGCCGGGGAGCCGTGCTGACCGGCCGGCCCGCCGTCTGCAGCTGCAGGCCTTCTTTCTGGTGCTCGACGACATCATGGACGGGTCGGAGACGCGGCGCGGCAAGCCGGCCTGGTACCGCAAGGACGACCGCGGCCTGCCGGCCATCAACGACGGCGTCCTGCTCGAGGCCGGCATCTACAAGTTGCTGAAGCTGCACTGCAGTGGCGAGCCGTACTACCCCAGCATCATCGACATCTTCCACAACGTGCGTGGGAACGCACGCAGATTGCGGCCGGCGGTCACTGCGCGAGCCTCAGTGGCGTGGTGGTGCCGCTATCCGCCTCGGGCGTGGTGCACCAGCCCGCAGTCGATCCGTGCAGCCATCATTTATGACAACTCCGCTTCTAATTGGGTGATGTGTTTTGTGCTAGGCTGCGCACAATGTGCGATTTTCGTGGTAGAGCATGGTGTTCATGTGACCGCCGTCATCTTGGTCGGGCCGGGTCCCAGGGGGGGGGGGGGGGGGGCGGACTGTGACCCGAGCTAAGAGGAGGCTGGCTGTGACCCGAGCTAAGAGGAGGCTGACTGTGACCCGAGCTAAGAGGAGGCTGACTGTGACCCGAGCTAAGAGGAGGCTGACTGTGACCCGAGCTAAGAGGAGGCGGACTGTGACCCGAGCTAAGAGGAGGCTGGCTGTGACCCGAGCTAAGAGGAGGCTGACTGTGACCAGAGCTAAGAGGAGGCTGACTGTGACCCGAGCTAAGAGGAGGCTGACTGTGACCCGAGCTAAGAGGAGGCGGACTGTGACCCGAGCTTAGAGGAGGCTGGCTGTGACCCGAGCTAAGAGGAGGCTGACTGTGACCCGAGCTAAGAGGAGGCTGACTGTGACCCGAGCTAGGAGGAGGCTGGCTGTGACCCGAGCCAGTGCCCGCTGTGACCACCCCATCCCCTCGGCAGACCACGATGAAGACCGTACTGGGCCAGAGCCTGGACCTGCTTGGCTCGCAGAGCGGCCAGCTCGACCTCAGCAAGTACACCATGGGACGGTACACGGCCATTGTCAAGTATAAGACGGCCCACTACTCCTTCCACCTGCCGATTGCCCTCGCCATGCACATGGTAAGCAGCCTGCCTCGCGGCCTGACCACGTCACAACCGAGCACGTGTGTGACGGGCCCGGGCGGCAGACACGCCACTGGCGGCAGACACGCCACTGGCGGCAGACACGCCACTGGCGGCATATACGCCACTGGCGGCATACACGCCACTGGCGGCACACACGCCACTGGCTGCACACACGCCACTGGCGGCAGACACGCCACTGGCGGCAGACACGCCACTGGCGGCAGACACGCCACTGGCGGCATACACGCCACTGGCGGCAGACACGCCACTGGCGGCACACACGCCACTGGCTGCATACACGCCACTGGCGGCAGAACCGCCACGGCTGCACACCACGCCACTGGCTGGCAGACACGCCACTGGCGCACACACGGCCACTGGCGGCAATCACACCGCCAACTGGCGGCAGAACCGCACTGGGCGGCAGACACGCCACTGGCGGCATACACGCCACTGGCGGCACACACGCCACTGGCGGCACACACGCCACTGGCGGCATACACGCCACTGGCGGCATACACGCCACTGGCGGGTCTGCGGGTCAGTGACGCGCGTCACCGGACGCTTTGAGCGGGTGTGCACCGAAGCGATGCGACGCTCAGGCGGGACGTGCGTGCAGGCTGTGCTGAACGTACCGACTGCAGGAGGCGTTACCGCGTTGGTGTCGAGGTGGGCCGCGCCGAGTCGTTGCGGTGCGTCCGTGTTGGTGTACGGAGCCACTGGGAACGCAAAGAGTTAACAGATGCATTGCATGGTCGACTTATCCAGTGAGCTGTACGCCTGCACCGACTAGGCGAACCGACCGATGCAACGAGACTCTCGCACTCGTCGGATCGTTTCATTGATCTGCTCATTGTCTTCTTTGGTACGTCTGGTGTCGGCATGAAAGCGCTGTTATCTGTTGCCAGGCAGGTATATCTGACCAGGAGAGCCACAGACAGGCCAAGGCCATCCTACTAGAGATGGGTCACCTCTTCCAAGTCCAGGTGGGTCTGAAATGGACTCGGCTTTCCGCCTTTTCACTGCTTCCGCCTGGAGGTCGTTTGGTCTGCATGTTAAACGGTCAAAAGTTGTGTGTTAGAGGAGGGGAGCCGCCGTTCTGGACGTGCGTGGTGCCATGCAGCTTGTCCTCAAAGGCGCTAATTTGAGCTCATTCGTGCTGGGCTTCTCAGTTAGTGGAGTGGTGCCAATTGAAGATTTGTATCCATCGTCTTACGTAACGTTGGGCGCAGTCTGGAGCACATTTGGTAGGGGAAGCAAGTGTTAACATCATGGCAATCTGACGTTCACGTTTGTTTGTGCATGTTTCGTGTTTCTTGTATTGCGTAGGTTGTAGGCTTCGACCGAGATGCACTGTTGTCCTGTTGCGTCCAGTGAGAGGAAGGCGTATCGCCGCTCTGCGCATGCGGTCGCCTCGGTGTAGGCGCGGCCCATCCCCCGTGGTGGCCGAGCCGGGACAGGAATCGGGACCGGGTCTGGGACTGAGACCGGGACTGAGACCTGGACCGGGACGGGACCGAGACTGAGACCTGGACCGGGGCCGGGGATCGGGACGGGGCCGGGATCGGGACTGAGACCCGGACCGGGACGGGACCGAGACTGAGACCTGGACCGGGGCCGGGGATCGGGACGGGGCCGGGATCGGGACTGAGACCTGGATCGGGACGGGACCGAGACTGAGACCTGGACCGGGGCCGGGATCGGGAGGGGCCGGGATCGGGACTGAGACCTGGACCAGGACGGGACCGAGACTGAGACCTGGACCGAGGCCGGGGATCGGGACGGGGCCGGGATCGGGACTGAGACCTGGACCGGGATGGAGACGAGCGCGCGCTAATTGGCCGCGTCCGCCTGGCCGGCAGGACGACTTCCTCGACTGCTTCGGCGACCCGGCTGTGACCGGCAAGATCGGCACGGACATCCAGGACGGCAAATGTTCGTGGCTAGTGGTGGTTGCCCTGCAACGGGCCTCGGCCGCCCAAAAACAGGTCATCCAGGTCAGTGATTGGCGGCCCGGCGCCGGGCGTCCGCTGCCAAATGGACTGTGTGCCGATACTGGGAGTGTGCCGTGGTCTGGCCGTTAAGGCCACTGGGGGTTGAACGGTGCTGTGGGCAGCCGTGGTCGTTGCTGCCGGATGACGCGCCGGCACAGCTCGGCTGCTGGCGTTCGGCATCGGATTCCGTCGCCGTCGTCTGCGGAGATCGCGCAGAGCGGAGCAGCCGTCCGGCCCGGAGCTCCGGCCCAGAGCTCTGGCGCTGCCACCGGGCCATATGTGCGTGTGACCCTTCCCACGCCTGCCGCCGGCCTCCTCTCGGGGCGGGCTCTGCCACAGGGCTGTCCGCTGTGACGGGTGGCCAGCCACAAAGATCCGTTTCTCCTGCTGTGCTGCACCAGCGCGCGGGCGGCGAGTGTGACTTGGCATCCTCTTGCAGGAGAACTACGGTAGAGACGACCCAGAGTGCGTGGAGCGCATAAAGCGGCTGTACACCGAGCTCAACCTGGTATCTGTCTACAAGAAGTACGAGCTCAGCAACTACGATCACATCTGTCGCCTGGTGGAGCAGACCTCTCGCGGGATGCCGCACAAGGTCTTCTACAAGATGTTGGAAAAGATCTACAAGCGCGAGAGTTAGGCGTCAGCGCCGATGATCAGCTTCGCTGTGCCCCACTTCACCCTTGTTAACGTCTTGCCGTGTTTGTCATAATGTTCGCCACTGGACATCAGCTGCTCGCGAAACTGCGATACCTTAGCGTTGTGTGCCCCGCTAAGGCCGCCGACTAAGCGTTCATGGTCGCCGACTGAGGCGTCGCGAGTGAACAGGGCTCGGCTGAGCTTCAGACGCGGGGTCGGGGTCGGGTCCAGTGCCGACACCGGTCCGGTGGGGGGCGAACGTCGCTCGTGCTGCCGCTGCCCTCGAGGCCGTTTGTGATCGGACCCTCTCTGCTCCTGTCTGTCCTGTCACCTTTTCAGCCCTCGCAGACGATCGCCCGTCATCGGACCTAGATTGTTCTGGTAGCCTAGACACCCACACTCGGACCGTGCTCTTTCGTACTCCCTGTACTGTTCGGATCGCTTTCGCTTGGCTCATTCCTCCGGCGCGCAGTGTCCGGGTCGTGGACATGGCGCCGTGGCGACATCGAGGCTAATCGTGCTGTAGCTGTGGCCGAGGGGACGCGGCGACGCGAGCCGCGGGACGCTGCTCTGTTTTGAGAGACGATTCTTCTTAAGCCCGTGTGCGGCCCCGTCCCTGCTGTCCTGACGAGGATGGACGGCTGGGCGGCACGAGTGCGCTGATCCGCCGCGCACCGCGGAGACCACCCTCGTGCGCTCGAGTCTCGGCACCGAGGCCAGTGGTGCGGCGCGTAATGTGCGCCAACTGGGGAGAGCCACCAGTCTGGTAGTGTGGTCAATAATAAAATATTTGTTCGCATCACCCGGTTGCCCACAATGTGGGGGGGGGGGGGAATGTGCCACCCTGACACGCATCGCTTGTCCCGGCGACCCGTGCAGGAAGCAGGCTTCGATGTTCGTTTTTATCAGATCAACATATATAGTACGTTTTGATGGAGGAATCCAGCATGGACAAACGACCCATACATTTGTCTACATAACTCAACCCACAGCGCGCATGATCATGTCATTGGCAGTGGCTTATGCCAACAGTTCCAAACCCCGCTCATACTCCTCAGCTCGGACTTTGGGACGCGATGACTTCAGTACAGGTCCGTCAAGTGACCGCGGGTGGGACGCGATGACTTCAGTACAGGTCCGTCTAGTGACCGCGGGTGGGACGCGATGACTTCAGTACAGGTCCGTCAAGTGACCGCGGGTGGGACGCGATGACTTCAGTACAGGTCCGTCAAGTGACCGCGGGTGGGACGCGATGACTTCAGTACAGGTCCGTCTAGTGACCGCGGGTGGGACGCGATGACTTCAGTACAGGTCCGTCAAGTGACCGCGGGTGGGACGCGATGACTTCAGTACAGGTCCGTCAAGTGACCGCGGGTGGGACGCGATGACTTCAGTACAGGTCCGTCAAGTGACCGCGGGTGGGACGCGATGACTTCAGTACAGGTCCGTCAAGTGACCGCGGGTGGGACGCGATGACTTCAGTACAGGTCCGTCAAGTGACCGCGGGTGGGACGCGATGACTTCAGTACAGGTCCGTCAAGTGACCGCGGGTGGGACGCGATGACTTCAGTACAGGTCCGTCAAGTGACCGCGGGTGGGACGCGATGGCTTCAGTACAGGTCCGTCAAGTGACCGCGGGTGGGACGCGATGGCTTCAGTACAGGTCCGTCTAGTGACCGCGGGTGGGACGCGATGGCTTCAGTACAGGTCCGTCAAGTGACCGCGGGTGGGACGCGATGACTTCAGTACAGGTCCGTCAAGTGACCGCGGGTGGGACGCGATGACTTCAGTACAGGTCCGTCAAGTGACCGCGGGTGGGACGCGATGACTTCAGTACAGGTCCGTCTAGTGACCGTGCGCTCTTGTTACGCCTTACATTCTTCGCTCGAACGACCACGGCAAGCACCATGGATACAATCTGCGACCTGTCATTAAACATGGTCCACGCAAATACCGTCAGGTAGGTTTATTATTCGGATCTCGTACAGCCCGTGAATGTGAACTGAACTGGCAATTGAGTCTACGCTCACTCTGGAATAAGATGTTTTCATTAACACTGTTACACGACAGACTATGCAAAAACGTAGGAATGGTTGAGTTCAGGTAACCGACACCAACTAGCTGCACGTAACGTACAGCACCTGGTGAAATTATTCACAAGAATGATTAACCGCGCTGCAGTGCCCCACCCCAGCCACGCCTACGAGCGGTGCGGCACGCCCGCGTCAGGCGTGGTACCGAATACCTTGCAGAGGATGCTAGGCGATATTCACGAGACTATTTCACACGCGCACCACCGATTCACTGGAACATGATTATGTACACGACTTATTACACGCGCAGTCGGCGGTCACATCTCAAAACAGCTTCCAGACAGACTATGGGTGTCCAGCTTCCAGACAGACCCGCCGGCAGCCGACAGCCGGCATCAGGGGGTACGGTTCATTCCAGACAGGCTATGGGTGTGCACCCGCCGGCAGCCGACAGTCGGCATCCGAGGGTACGGTTGATTCCAGACAGACTATGGGTGTGCACCCCGCAGCAGGCGACAGCCGGCATCAGGGGGCACGGTTTACAGCTGGAAGTGGCCCGCCTGTCGATTCACGTAGAACTGCTGGACGGAAACCACCATCGTCACCAGGTATATGGCCGCCGCTATCCAGCAGTTGTACGCAATCTGAAAGGTAATACGGAACGCAATGACTTCTGCAGTGCGACAGCGTCCCAAATCTCCAAGACCAAGAGGTGCGACGGGTCCCAAAGCACAACTGTCCCGATTCATCTTATTCGGTTCAGTTA